TTTAATAATGTAATTGTACCCGGTGGGGAAAAAGCTAAGTACTCTTCATTTTGACCAAAAGCCTGTTAGAAATAATTTATTAATAATGTTATTAGCATTCCTATTGGAGGAAGATGCAACTAGCAGTTTCCCATACTAATTAGAATTCTCCACACCCAAGTCTCCTTACATTTTATAGTGTTTAAGAAAAAAGACAAACATGCCTCCAGCAAGCAAAGCAAGGTACAATGTTTATGCTAGGACTTTTGATTTAGCAAATAGAACTACAGAAATGTTAATAGTGGAGGTTCACCCTTAGAGATGGTCAGGCTTTCTGGAAAACTAAAAAGTACCCCCTCGAGGTTAAATGGGGGAAGCTAGGTGGTACAGTGAGTGGACAGAGTGCTAGGCCTGGAGTCACAAAGACAGGAGCTGAAATCTAATCTCAGACACTTAATAGCTATGTGACCCTGGGTAAGTCACTTAACCCAATTTGCCTCAGTTCCACAGTCTGTAAAATGAGTTGGAAAAGGAAATGGCAAATTATTCTAGTATCTTTGCCAAGAAAACCCCAAATGGAATCATGAAGAGTCAGACATAACTGAAAAAACTGAACAAAAGAGGTTAAATAGTCACCTTCTTTGGTTTAGTTAAAATACCAAATTCGTTCTTTACTTTCATTACTCAACAACCTAGCCTCCTTGGAAGTCCAATCAAAATTTCCCTTCTCCTTCAAACTCCTCTCTTGGTAACCTATGAACTCCCATGATTGAACTCTGTGTGTGTGTGTGTTGTGTGTGTGTGTGTGTGTGTGTGTATATACACACACACGTATGTATACAGATATATATGTACATATAGATATAAATATAGCCTTAGTCTCTTCTCTCCTTAGAATCAGTCACGTGTTGCCCATTTTCTATTAAACCTTTCAAACTAGATGTCCCAGAAATATTTCAAACTCAGTATATCCAAAACAGAACTCGTCATCATTCTCCCCAAATCCTCTTCTTTTCCAAACTTTACTATTTCTGTCAAAGGCACTGCTATCCTTCTAGTCTTCTTAGATTAGAACTTCAATATTCTGAACTCACTCACTCTCTGCATATAGTCATTTTGGTTTTGCTTAACTTTTTTTTTTTAATAAAAAATGTTTACTAATAAAACATTTTAGAAAAAAAGCTTTACCAGGAAATCCAGGAAAAAGGGGTAGTAAGTGCTCTTCTATTCTTCCCAAACCTAAATCACTCCTTAAATGATTTCACCTGAGCCACTCAAGTGGCTCCCTTATGGGAACCAATACCTGTTCCAAGCCCTTATGGCAACTACTATGCTGGTTATTGTGGGTGGGACCAAATGGAAACCCTTGGAGTTGCTCCCAAGCTATCCTGTGTAGTTAATAAACAACACTGGGTCTCCAGAGAGGTTTAAGTTATTTCCTCCTAATGATGGAGACAAAGCAGGCCAAGTACTTTTCTGTACTAACTTCCCTTTTAGCAACACTGTGTGGTGAGGCAAGTGAATGGCAGCTGGCAGCTTACTATCCACCGCATGGAGCTGAACAAAATAATTGGAGCATTTGTTGTGCCTTTTCTTGACTTTCCCAATGTGGCATGCTAGGAAGTCCAGGCTCCTGGTAAGTGGTATGGGGTTCTCAACCTTGCTAATGCATTTTACTCTATTCCTGGTGGCTGAGACTAGCCAGGATGAGTTTGCTTTCACTTGAGAAAGAGTCTAGTGTACCTCCACTGTCCTTTCCCAGGGTTATCTGAGCTCTCTCTAGTACTACCATACATGGTGTGATAGGCAGAGACCTGATTTCCTTAATGGTACTGATTTCCACCAGTAGACTGATGACTACCTATCTTCCCCATTCCTGAAATGCAGTTGCTTCTCACCTCCACCTCTTAGAATCTATAGCTTCCTCACTCAGGCAATAGTTAAGTCAATAAACATTTATTAACTGCCTTCTATGTGCCAGACACTGTGCTAAACACTGGAGATACAAAAAGAGGCAAAAGACAGTCCCTGCTCTCAAGGAGCTTATAATCCTTCAAAGCTCAGCTCAGATGCCCCCTAAAAGTGCCTACGTGAAGCCTTTCCTGACATGAGAGGAGCTGGCAGCCTCCATCATGTCCCTATTCCAACTACTCTAGAAACTTGGGGGACACTTCACCTATAGATAGCAAGTCTACAGATTGAAGTTTCTTTTCTTTTCTTTCTTTTTGGACAGTTAATACCAGGATTTGTTTGCATGAGTATATATTTTTAATGAATTTGGGGTTTTTTTGGGGGGGAGGGAAAAAATTCAGAATTAATAATGAATAAAATTGGATTTTAAAAAGTAAAAAAAAAGGTTAATATCCATGGTTAGCATTTTCTTTTATCACTTTCCTATGTCTAGACAGTTAACAAAATGATTTGCAGTCCTGCAATCCTGATTTGCAGACTTTGCTGATTTCCCAAGTATAAATCTCACATCGAAAATTTAACAATTAGCTCTCAGGAGCCGTCTTGAACTAGCTCCAGCACAGCCTTGCCTAGAGGAGGACCCCTAGCACAGTGGGTAGACAATCAACGGGGGAAACATGAGAGGAGATGGAACGAGAATCACAAAAGATGAGAAAACACAGATGGATCATGTACCAATGGAGAAAATATCCGCACATGGGAAATCACAGATCCATTGATTTATCAATATCTAAAGCAACCAAACAAGTTTCAAGCATTACTTAAATTTGGGCATTTCTCTGGTCTAGTATATACAATACATAATAAAGCCAAGGTCATTATGCAGCATCTGCACAGTATTATAGACTGAAAATACCAGTCTGAAAATAGAAACTATGGACCAATACTGTTTTAATGGTTCGGTGATTTTTTCCCCCCATTCCTTTTATTGGTATAAATCTTGTAGCTTCTCACCCTGCATGACTCTTGTCCATGTCTTTCCATAAACCTTTCCCCAAGGTTCTGCCAATTCAATTAGAGTCATTCGTCTCATTTTTGAGCTTCTTGAGAGCAGCCAACTGTTGTTTTCTCTTTCTTTGTACTACCAGTTACTTAATATAGAACCTCGTACATGGCAGGCATTTAATAAATGCTAGCTGACTGCTTTCAATTGATGGCCATCTATTTTGTTTTTAGTTCTTTGCTGTAACAAAAATAGTACTGTAAATATGCAATAAATAGGTCATTTCCCTCTGTAAATGGATACCTTGGGAGTATATGCCTAACAGAAAAACTGGGTCAAAGAATATGTACAGTTTAGTGAGAAAGGTCTGCAGAAAGTGGTGCTTGAGCTGTTTTGAAGGAAGTTGAGGGATTCAGAAAGGTGAAGGTAAGGAGGAAGAACATTATCAGGCACAGGGGACAGGCAGTCACTGCAAAGACACAGAGATGAGAAATGGAGGGTCATGTCTGAGTTAGAGAACATAGGTCGGCATGGCTGGTTTGCAGGAGTGGCCAGAAGAGATTTCAAGATCATAGTACTCTAAATTTGATCCTGGAAGTAAAATGGAGCCACTAAAGTTGGTTGACAAGGGGGGTGCCATAATCACTTTGGCAGCTATGTTGAGGCTGATTCACTGTATATACTGTCATTAGATTAACCCTCCTAAAGAATAGATCTAAATATATCAACTACTTGCTCAAAACCTTTCAGTGGGTCACCATTACCTGTGGAATAAAATCAAAAGGCCTTCGTGACATGGCCCCAACCTACCTGTCCAGTCTCATCCCCAACAATTACACTTGACAAACCATTTTTTTGTTGGTCTGGACTTATAATTTCACTGGTTCCTTGCTCTCAAAAAAGCAGGAACGCTCAATGAGTAAACTCCTCCCAAAGCTGGCAACTGTCGTACAACATGGTGTCTTAGGAATTGCTTGGGGACACTGACAGGTTAAATGATTTACTCAACCTCCAATATGTGCCAGAGGCAGATCCTGAACCCAGGTTTTCCAGACACTGAAGCTATCTACTACATTCGAATGGTATGACATAGGGACTTGACCCATCATTTCTTCCTAGAGAGAATGCTTGGATGAGGAAACTCCCTCCTAGCTAAGCAGGTGGGCATCATCTTGAAAATTTAGTCTTTGAGCAAGGGTTTCTTAACCTGGGGAATGTGAACTTAATTTTTTTTTTAAAATTTCAACATAATCGGCTTCCTTTGCGATCCTGTGCATTATACTGATTTAAAAGTGTCCCTGACAAAAAATGGTTAAGCAGAACACTGTAACAGATTTACTTAGAACACCGTGGGGATCCAATGGCTTACCCAGGGTCACATAACGATTATATATCAGAAGTTGGATCTGACCCAAGTCTTTCTGTCTCCATGTGACCTCTCTTGCTATGTCAAACACTTCAGTCAAATTAGAGTACTTTTTATTCCCTGAAGGTTCCTCAATTTTCCTATCTTTGTGCTAGTTCATGCAGTTTCCTTTACCTAGAAAGCTCTTTCCTCTCAGCTGCACCTATCCAATTTGTCTACCTCCCAACTTTTAAAAGTCCAGCTTCAATGTTCTCTTCTCCACGAAGTCTTCCCTGATCTGTTCAGGTAGAAATAATTTCTCCCTTCTATAAACTAGCCATTCTGAACTGCTACTCCTGTCCTGTCACATATGTGTGTGTGTGTGTATTTTTTTATTTCCTACTAAACTGTTAAGTTCCCTAATGGCAGGGTCTGTATACATATTCATATCCCCAACAGAGCTTAGTATGTAGTAGGCATCCAATAAACATTTGTTGAATTAACCTTTCAAGAAAACAGGTGAGGATGCTAAATAAAAAACTGTAGAACTAGAAAAATGTAACGTTATAAATTAATATGTCCCTTAAAGTTTGCTTAGTAAAATTTAGAAAAAAGACAAAATGTGAATTTAAAGATTATTCATAAAATTTTTAATAATTCATAGTTTAAACTCTAAGCTAAACAACTTGAAATCTAAATTTCTGTCACACCGCTTTTATTAACAGTGAAAGGCCATTTGATTTTTTAAAATAACACTAGCTCAATATGGAATTCATCTTGGTCTCCACTTTATGTCTTTTACACCATGAAAATGTTTCTTTAAAGCAGTATTGTCTGCCCATGTAGAATCCAGACAGGAATCATCATCATTTTCTTCCAATTTCTGGGTGGAAAAGAAGTGTTTTTACTTGAAGTATTTAAGGAAGATGCATAATAAAGTATGAATAAAGGTGCTCTCCTTAAGGCTATACACTGACAACCTCACATTCAAGTCCCAAGGCTCCTGGGAGATGTAAAAGGGGAATTCGTATGCAAAAAGAAGACAATTTTGAGCTCCTAGATCTTCCCCCTTTATCCAAAACTCTGAAACTCTGACCCACCTTCTCCCCAGGCATACTGCTTCCCCTCTACCGCAGATGATCTTGGGAAAAGAATCTGGCCTCCTAGCCTCACTAGACCTCTGATAAAAAGCAGCCTATTTTGTGTTACCTTGAGTTCCTCCTGCCTTTTGTAATAATACAACATCATCTGTTTTTGTTCTTCATTGCTTATAACAGGCTCCCGGGCTGGAGCTCCTTGACCTTTCTGTTGAAATGTAGAAAAGGGTAAAATGCATATTAAAGTAAAATTTGCTTGTATTTCAATGAGTCTGTGATCTCATCGATGAAAACTCCCTTTAACCACACAGGGCACAAACCGTCAAACTGCTTGTCTTGCGTGATTGATATTCATATTCTTCCATAAATCCTCCCCAGAGGAGCTCCCCAAGGTGCTGAAAGCCTTCCTCCTTCTAGATCTTTTCATATTCCCTGGGTACAACATAACAGTACTTGAAGAATCCATCTGTTGTTCCTAGTGCCTGTCAGTCCATCTCCTTTTCCTCTATTTTGTCAATGACCTGGATTCTTGCTTGTGACTAATCATATATTTCCTGAATGATTTTTTTACCCTATTTGTTAATATCCTTTATAAAACTTTAAGATGGCAGTGTGGTATATAGTAAAGTATCTTTAAAGAGCCTTTACTGAAGACCAAACCTTGTCAGTAGGTCAGCAGGGTATGAACACTTGGATTTAGAATGAGAAGAAACTAATTTGAGTCCTACACCTCTTCCACTTATTTGCTATGTCACTTTATTATTTACTTATTTATTTATTTTTGCTTTTAGGCAATTGGGGTTAAGTGACTTGCCCAGGGTCACACAGCTAGTAAGTGTCAAGTGTTTGGTCTGAGTCCAGATTTGAACTCAGGTCCTCCTGACTTCAGGGCCAGTGCTCTATCCACTGCGCCACCTAGCTGCCCTGCTATGTCACTTTAAACAAGCAAGTTCTTCACTTCTGTGGGCCTCAGTATCTCCCCTTGTAAGATGAGGGGACTAGATAAGTGGATATCCAAGGTCCCTTCTGAGGCCTAAGATTCTTGGGTTCTTTAGGAAATCACTCATTCTAGCACTAGGAGTTTACCTGAAATAGGACAATTAAGATGAAGTCATTGCAGGAACCAGCCCTGCAGGTACTGGGGGGTCTGGAGTTATGGCAACCTCAGTCTTTAGGGAAGGTTTAAAATTCACAGGATGAAAGATTTAAAGATGACAAGGACTTCAGAGGACATTATGTTCCCGCCTCCAAACATAGCTCTCTCCATGACATTGAGCTGCCTCTTTCCCTCTCAGGGCAAGGTCAACAACTGTCCCCAGGCCATTAGTCATTACTTCTTCTAGACTTAGAGCTATATGGTCTCTCTGAATGCCATCATACTAGGAACATAACAATCTATTTCAGGAGCCTGGTGCACATTGAAAGCAGCCTCCTGCTGAACTGATGATTTTTAATCAGTTTAACAGTTTTGGAAAATGTCACCAAACATTCCCAATCCCTCATCACGTTTTTGTCACAGTGCCCATATTTTTCTATTTTAAATAACATTTTAATTTTCCTACAGCATTTTAAATAATTCACCTTTGTATGCAAAAAAAAAATTAAAAGTTAACTCTAAGCTACTTTTATGCTTTCCTTTTCCACCTTTGCAGGTGAACATAAAAGATATTTTTATGTAGACTTATTCACGTAAAGCCTTGGGCCTATAGAACTATAATGTTTGCACTGCTGATTTAAAAATCTCACATTTATTATAACTTTTTGCCAGTTAGAATGTAACCAACCAGTTAAAGTTAAAATGCAAAAAGAATGAAATATGAAAGCATAAGTACTTACTTGCTGAAGCTTGACAATGATTTTAGTTTTCTCATTTTTCCCTACATAGTCTGAAAGTTTCTGAGTTCTTTTTAACTCCTTTGCTGCCCACCACATTTGTGCCTCTGATTCATTAATGATCTGAAGCCCAGCCTGTAATGAATTAAAAGAATCTGTTTCAGGACAAGTTTGCCTCCAAAAAAGAGATGAAAAAAATGGACTCCCCTTCCTCCTTCCTCCCTCCCCATTTTTTGCAGAAGTGGGGAACCATGGTTAGGGAATACTGCATATACGCTCAGACTCAGCTGATGTGTGGGTGATTTTGCTAAACAGCTTTTTGTTTTTCCTTTTAAAATTCTCTGTTACAAGGAATGGCTCTCTGGGAAGAAAGGGATATAGCTGAAGGTAACTGAAAAGCAAAAAGATACTTACTTTTAAAAAAAGATTAAACTTTGGGCTGCCACACCATTCAAATGTACAGTGTCAAATTTTGAAACACAGCATAGCTTGGACAGCTTGGCTTATGGATCATCCAAACAAACACCAATCTAACGGAGGCACCTAAAATTCTGACTTTTCACCAGCATCTAAAACATTCATCTTATTATTTCAGCACTTTAAACTCATTGTTCAAACTCATGAACGTTAATTTCCTGCTTTGGAACCACATTTCATTTTAATCAACTTTCCTAGGGTAACAGGGAAGGCAGTGTATATAGAAGAGAGAGACCTAGATTTGGAGATCAGAGATGCAGGTTCAACTCTCAGTCCTGTCACTTATTAGCTGCATGACCCTGAGCAAGTCACTTTACCTCTCTGAGCCTCAGTTTTCTCACCTATAAAATGGGAATAATTATAGTCCCTATCCCACAGGTTTCTTGTTAGGAAAATGTTTAGTAAACCTCAAAGTCCCACGTAAATGGGAGTTATTATCTTTGTCTTGCAGACTTTTCAGAGAGACCATTAAAACCAGGCTGTTTGTGCACATTCAGGCACAAAGGGATCTGAGTTGATTCCAATCTTTCTATGTTTTTTAAGTTACCAGGCCTCCCATTTCACCAGATTGCAGTCCTCTCTTCCTCCCAGTTGACTGATATGGTAGCTCTGACCCTCCCCAGTAGCAGGGAAGCTGGTAGGAATCCCTGCCCCCACCCTAATGCCTGCTGAGTCTGAGTCTTTGAGGAGGCAATGCTGACTCTGGGATGTTGAATAAACCATATTTTACTATTAAGAGAGAGAGAAAGGTCCCCAAAGCTTACTCCCTATGGGAAGCTTACATGACACTGAGCTGCAGAGGAAGAACATCTCCAATTCCTTGGCCCTGGCATAATTTTTGACTCCATCATTCCCTTTACCTCCTGTAGTCAGTCATTTTGTCTGTAGCATCACCTCACATCCCTTTACCTTTCCCCTATAACTACTTTGCCAATTCCTCACCTAGGGTAACTCTACTACTTTCTCTGACCCTATTACCAGGCTGCCAAACACTGATGGAAGAAATCATGAAACCATTTTGTTTGTATTTATTGTCAGTTGATGCTATTTAACTCTAGCTGAGCCTTCACTGTTTTCATTCCCCACTTATCTACCTTTTCCCCTCACGCTGTTGAGTCTATTCTAGTTTTCAGGGAGTCTGCTACTTGGGTTAGTTTTGTCCGTTTCTCTTCTAAGATGTTTATTATTTCAATTCTTCCCTCCAGAGCTTTTATTTCATTTTTATCTCTTGGTTAATTTCTTCCATATAATCATGTAGTTCTTGATGAAAATCAATTTTCTTTGAGTCTCTGCTTGCAGGGGTTATGGGGTTACTTTTTTTTCTAGACTGGATTTTGGGGTATTTCTACAATAATTTTTAATACTGGCCAGGGTTTTTTTCTGGTTAACCTATCTCTCTAGCTTTATTTCCTGAATTGGGGTTTTGTTCCTGGGCCAGGCTCTATTGCCTGGGTAGAGTGGCTGCTCCTGCTTCGTCTTGCCCTGGATTTCTACACCGATGTCATCTTCCAGGGCTAGCCACTTCCCCTCCCCTGCCCCACTTGGATGTTAGAGGTTCTAAGCACTGGATTTTCAGGGCCCTCTATGGCATCTTAGGATAGAGTGTTAGGGAAACTCAGAGCCCTGGGCACCTGTTCTGTTCTGCCCTGAGAGCTGTCACATCCAGACTGGTTGTTGCTGTTCCTGGTAGTTTCCAAGGTGTGCAGCATCACATTTACTCATTTGGACCAGAATACTTGAAAACATCTAGACTGGTTTGATGAACACGATGGGGAAATTCAGAAGCTGCTACATAAAAAAAAAAAACCCAAGAACTCCACAGGGTTTACCAGCAGGATAGTTCATGTGTTCCTAAGAAGGCAGTGTTTAATTCTATAAAAATAAAGTGCAAGCAAAGCTTAGAGAGATGTGGGATTCTTGGCTCAGTAAGAAGGCAGATGAAATTCAGTTTCACATAATAGTAACAATCCAAAGTGCTTTTATGATGTCCTGAAGGCTATTTATGGGCCAAAGAGCTATGGTGCATCTTAACTACTCTGCTGTTGGAGCCACATTGATTAGTAACAAGGACGTGATCCTGGGGAGATGGGCTGAACACTTCCATAGTGTTCTCAACAGACCATCATCAATCAATGCTGAAGCCACTGACCTCAGGCTGAAACCAATACTTCTCTAGCCAAACTTCCAACTGAAGAAGAGGTTTTGAATGCCATTAGACTCCTCTCATATGGCAAAGCACCTGGTGCTGATTCTATTCCAGCTGAAATTTACAAGGTGGGGGGGGCCCACTGCTCATATAAAAGATGACAGAAATTTTCTGGGTTATATGGAAAGAGGAAGTTTCCCTAGGATGCCTCCATTGTCCATCTCTATGAAGGAAAAGGAAATAGGTTGCCCTGTGACAATCACAGGGCATCTCTCTCTCTCTGTCATTGCCAGGGGCTTCTTAATAGGCTGATCCTTCCCCAGGAAGATAGTCATCTACCTGAGAGCCAGAGTGGCTTCAGAATACGCCAAAGAACAGATGATACAGTGTTTGCTGCCTGACAACTTCAGGAGAAATGCCAGGAACAGAACAGAGATTTGTATACAACATCCACTGACTTGACCAAGGCCTTTGATACTGTTGGTTATGAGGGTTTGTGGAAAATCATGGCAAAATTTGGTTGCCCATAGAAGTTTATCATGAGATTCACGATGGCATGCATGCACAGGTTCTGGATAATGGATGATGCTCTTGCACTTTCCCAGTCACCTATGGAGTGAAGCAGGGCTATGTGCTTGCTCCCATGATTTTTAGCATGATGCTGTCAGCTATGTTGTTGGATGCCTTCAAGGAGGATGAAAATGGCATCAAGGTCAGCTACTGCACTGATGGACAGTAAATTATTTAACTTAAAAAGGCTACAAAGCCAAGATTAAAGTGGAGGGAGAGTTGGTGAGGGGCTTTTTGTTTGCAGATGATTGTGCACTCAATAAAGCCTCTGAAGCTGAGATGCAACCGAATATGAACTGATTTTTTGCTGCTTGTGCTAATTTTGGCCTTATAATTAACACCAATAAAATACAGGTTCTCCACCTGCCAGCAGCATACCATCCATACATGGAACCACCAGTTACAGCAAATGGAGATATTTTGAATACTGTGGATAAGTTCACTTACCTTGGCAGCATACTTTCCAGGGATGTACACACAGATGATGAGGTTGATGTGTTTACGAGGCTCAAAAGGAAAAGTGTGGGAGAGAAGAGGCATCAGGATGCCTCATCAACTGGTAGTCTAAATTGTGCAGATCTCACTGTTGTATGCCTATGAAACTTGTACAGTCTACCAGTGCCATACCAGGAAATTGAACCGCTTCCATCTGAATTGTCTTAGGAAGATTCTGAAGATCACCTGGCAAGATGAGGTACTAGACACTAAGGTCCTTTCTTAAGCTGAACTGCCAAACACTCAAACTCAATTGTAGAGAATGCAATTCTGATGGGCTGGCCATATTGTTTGAACGCCAAAGGTATGTTTGCCTAAAAGACTCTTTTACAGGGAACTCACATAAGGCAAGTACTCACACAGAAGTCAAGAGAAGTGGCATAAGGACACTCTCAAGGTTTCTCTAAAGAACTTTGGTATGGTGTGCCACATCAAAGAAGGTGCTGTGCTCTATGAGCAAAACAGAATTTCAGTAGCTCAAAAGAAATGCGAAATGTACAAATTTAGAACCATGTCCACTCCAAATATTCATACTGGTTGAGCCCAAGCTGTGGTAGAGCCTTCCAAACTTGTATTGGTCTCATCAGTCACAGTTGGACACATTGTACCTTGACCCAAACACAGTGATATCATTTTGGTCTTCTTCAAGAACGGAAAACAACCAACCAGTTTTCAAGGTCTCCAGTGTGGGTTTCTGACAATCCTGGAGACTTCTGATCACTTTGGTGCTTCTTCTGGACACAAAACCTAGAAGGTTACATGTGTGTCTGGCTTGTGCTGGCACTAGATTTATTGACAGGCCCCTTTTTCTATTTCCTACTCATTTGAGGATGGCTTTTTGTACAGCTCCAGGTGGAAGAAGTCACTTACTGTGGTTTCTACTGAGTTTCTTAATCATCATTCAGTCTGGTGAGAATATCAGGATTTCACTGCAGTAGATATATGGGAGTTGGGCATTGTGCCTCTGTTCAGAAAGGCGTCTTGGCCCAAAGTCCACCCCTTTAATTCTCAGTAGATGAGTTAGTTTCCAACTTTACTGAGAATACTGCAGTCATAAACTTCAGTTTCCTTCACTCATCTCATCTCCCCTTTGTTTCTTCCTACTTCAGAGAAAGAAAAGTTCCTTCCCTCTATTTGTGCCTTTGGTCCCAGATCATTTCTATATTCCATTAACGCTGTTCACAGCCAAACTGCTAGAAAAAGTAGCCAGTTTTTACTGTCTTCATTTTACCCTGAAGCCCTTGATCCTAAATAATATGGTTTAATATGGTTTATGCTCCTACTACTATACTACAACTTTTTTTCAATAAAACACTAAATGGTAAGTTTCGATGGCTTTTTCTCAATTTCTTCGACCCATCAGTAGCTGATGATGAAGGCTACATTTTCCTTGTTAAAACTCTTCCCTCTCTGGTTTTATTCTGTTTCTCTATTTACCTTTAATTTCTGCTTCTTCACAAGGGTGTTTCCATTTTCCATTCTCTATGTATAGTTATTTTTTTCAAGATCCTATTTTATGATCTCTTCTCTTCTTCTTGAATTTTTAATTTTGGTTAATTTCACCAACCCAGTTAGTCAGGCTTCAAACCTTGGAACTCTTCTGATGACTCCTTTTCCTCTCCCATACACCTAAGTCAGTCACAAAGTCCTGTAGATTCTAGTCTGAATTATCTTTTGCTAGGTCTCCTCTTTCTATTCCCAAGGGTAGCACACTCAGACACTCATAATCTCTTGCCTAGCTTATTCCCAGTCTCCTTGACTCTCTTCTTGTCCCTCTTCAATCCGTTCTATAAATTGCTGCTAGAGATCAATGTAATGAATACACAATTCTCATCAAATCATTCACTCTCCTGCTGAAAAACTTTTAGTAGCTCTCTATTGTCCAAACCAACCATACTTACCTTATGCTACTCCCCTATGCTGCAGTTTAACTGGACAGGTGGATATTCCCTAAATATACACTATATTATCATTCTTTTGTATCCTTTCAGCTTGACTTACCCTCCTTTTACCCCAATTTCTGGCTACTGAAATCTGATCCATTCTTCAAGGTCTAGTTCAGATGCCACTTTGTGTGAAGACTTTCCCAATTCCCTTAACTGGAAGTAGTTTCTTCCAACCTCATTTCAAATCCTAGTATGCATTTTCTAACTCTTATGAACTTATCACATTTTAATTTGTATTACAGTTATTTGTATACATGTCATTTCTCTCACTAGATTGTAAGCTTCTTCATAGCAAAGAACAATACCTTTGTATCCCACAAAGTCTAGCACTGTAATTAATAGATGTTTACTAAATGTTTGTTTAATGAAAGAACAGAATGTGTTCTTGCTGTACTACGTTCCTTATGACCATAATATCAGTATTAAATTAGTATTAATGAAACAATTACTAATAAGTATTAAAGCTTAAAACTGCACTAAAGACGTTCTGGGACAACCTGTACTTCAGATGTCAAAGTGATAGACTTCTAAATCCCTTCCAAGTGTGGGATTATTAAAAAAAATGTATAAGGAATAACTCCTATATCTTGTGAATAACTCCATTTCCTTTTTCAGAGGAAAAAATCCGAATCAGACATGACAACTACATACCTGAGTTCCTGACAAATCTTCCTTATTCTCAAACTCCATTCTAACTGGATCATATGGTGGCAATCCCATTGGATAAACAATCATTACAGCTCCTCGAAGCTGGTCGAGTGCATCCTTCACCATCTCCATAGTAACACATACATTAGCTTGCACTTGTTTCTGAAATTGAGCAATCACTATTACTTAGGCATAATACAACTATAAACAAAACAACTCCTATATTTTTATTACATTTGGTACTCAATTAAAAGTAAAGACAAATGGCTAAAAAAAAATCACAGTTCCACTAGGAAGAAAAATGTCTTTTAACGTCTTTCCTCCAAATTCTCAAATTACCCATGTTTCTCAAATGAAAAACAAATCCACACAAATATTAAGATGAATATCTTTCCCTCAATAGAACAATCTAATTAAGACTAAGCACACACAAAACTAATCTATTGGATAACTTCTCATTAACACATACTCTGAGTAATTAAAAAATAAAATATGTATTAATCTTTACTTGTCTCACTTATGAATTACATATTTAACAAAAGTAACATTAGTACCTCTAAACTGTAGGAGTTGGAGGATATGGGATAAATAGTTACAAGTATGAAAACAGTATTCTAGGGAGTACCACAAACATGTCTTGGAATTTTTTTAATTTTAAAAAATTTTTTATTTTCAGTTTCAAATTCTCTCCCTCCCTGTATCCCTTCCCCAATCCAATGAGAAGGTAAGAAGTATGATTCCTATTATACATTTGAAGGCATACAGAACAGATTTCCACATTAGCCACGTCATGAAAAAAGGCAAGAAAAAGAAGAAAGTGAAAAAAATATATACTTCAATCTGCACTCAGAATTCATCAATTCTCATCATGTCTTACTACTTCTAGTGCTCATGAGCAAAAAGCAGACAAACCCAAAACTTTGGGAGCATTTCAAGCTGGAAGGATTTAGTACATGTGACATCACCTTAGATATTAATGCTTTAGCTTCTTCTACAGTCTTCTTCAAAACTTGCATCATTTTTTCATTTGGAGCTTAAAAAAAAAGAAGTGATGTTTTTATGAGAAGCTTTAAATATATTGCATACTTTAATTCTAACTAGTGGCAGTCTGACAGCAAGTGTAAGGACAGCTAGTGAGTTTTAGTAGTAGATTTAAGAAAGTTATGTTAAGGGCAGTAGCTAGACTACATAGCTGGGTAAAGACAGGATCTCTTCACAATTATAGTTTTTTGCAAAATGGCAAAGTTTGAGAAGCAATGATATGGAGGAAGATTTGTAGGCTAAAAAAATGGGAAGCACTGAAAATAGTCAGAATTCCTTATTTAAAAAGAAGTTTAAATTTTTTAGTTGAGAAACAAAGAGACACGAAAAAACCAAGTTGAACCCTCATATATTTCAGAAATCAACTGCATAATGAAAATATTTGTGAGATATAATTTTACCTCAAAAGCAAGCAGCCAATTTTAAACAGTCCCTGCTTAAAGACTGCGAAAAATGAGTTGTAATAACTGACTTTTCTTATGAATTAGTATTCTTTCAGAATTTAACTTCTTTGCTCTAAAGAGAACTACCTATCTCTGAACAGAGAGCAAGTTTATAGATGAAGAGGTGGACATTGAAATGACACAACAATAGCACCCTCCAGCAGAATGTAAGCTCCTTGCAGGCAGAGATCATTCTTCATTTCCACCTTTGGATCACCTCAGCTGACCACAATGTCTTGCATACAGCAGGCACTTAATAAATGTATGAAGAACTAAAATGCTTTTACCATTACCAGTTTTCAAAGGTCATTTTAGGTCATAGACTCCTGGACTGTATCTTCAATTTTCAGAGCCTTCATAAAATACAACATTTCTGAGAATGCCAAGTATACAAAAGATGCTCAACAAACATTTGAGTGGTTGAAATTTTTCTAAATTCAGTTTTTACATATAAGGGCCTAGTTTTCATAAATTGCAATCTGGTTGATATTTTACAATTTTATGCCTCCCTCTCTCATATATTAAGGAGATAAGTGCATACCAAATATGATTAAGGGTTAATGAGTCATCTCTATAAAGTACTGAGTCACAGAGAGATATGGTTCCTCACAATAAAGTGGGGCTAAATATGTTTGCATTCTTCTTCCTGTTTCTGTACACATCAAGAGGCCATTTAAACAAACTCACACTTCCGCAAACCTTAACAGAATTCAAACCTAAAAATTTCCCCACTAAACATTGTTCCACACTATATTTAAGATATAGCTGTCATGCTATAATAACAAGAACTCATGACCTATACTTATCTAGTCTTGTGTATTATTAGACTGGTGTCTTATGACAAGAACACATAAAATTAAATTTGTGCTTGTAAATTTGTGTTGAAATAGTGAGACTACTTTTCAGTTGAAAGATAATGAAATACTACATTTTCTAATTATCAATATTGCCCAAACTTACTCAGACACACAGAAGAAAAAAGTTATTTATGGCTTGATTACCATGACCATTTCTTCGTCCAATTTCATCCTTCTTGAACACTGAGCCCCCACTTGGTACACATTTTTCAGCCCATTCATCCTTTAATTTCAGGTCTTCAACTTGTTCATCTGTTAGTCCTTGCATATTAGGTGGCAGAAATATGCCATGTTCTGCTAGTTCTTCAATTTCTTGAAACACAGACAAAAGAGAAAATTAGAAAACATATTTCAGAGAGCTGTAGTACCATCACCATCACATATCTGAATAACACAGTAACTAAAAGGACTTTCAGATACAGTCTTATTTGTTACAGATACAATAACACTATGAAGTATCACTGCTCACATTATCCTGCATTTTACAAAAGAAAAAATCTAAGGTTTAATAAGAATAAGAGATGTGCCTAAGTTACAAAGCTAGGAAATGGCTGAACTAGGACTAGAATCAAGGCCCTTAAACTCCTAGTGAAGAGTTCTTTCCACTTACTAGCTTGTGAATGCCTTTTTCTTATCCCTTTTTTTTTTTAAGAATTCTAGAGTTGGAAGAGAATTTAAAGGTCATCTAATTCAACCACCCACCAGCAGATGCTTGGATCTCCTTTTTAATATCCAGCTCTTGCCTGACTACCTCATAGGAGGGAATTAAGCATAGCTCAGTAGGAATACAAATTTACTTTTGGATAGCTCTAATTATTATAGCTTTTTTTTTATACTGAATCTGTCTCTCTATGACTTCCATTCATTTGTTCTAGTTCAACAAATTCAACAAATATTTATTAAACACATACCACGTATAAAGGTACTGATAAAACAAGGATAGATATGATAATTGCTCTTCTCAAGGAACTGAAAAGCCAATAGGTAGAGAAAAGATGTATACACAAATAACAATTATACAGAAAGGAAAGTGTAAAGTAGATGAGAGAATGAGTAGATTATCTAATAGCACTTAAAGTGCTATTAGAAATGTAAGGAGAGACTATCACTAAGATAAGACAGACTGGCTCTCTAATTACCCCCTCAAAAACACTAATAGAAACTCTTAAGAGAAGGCAAGCTTCCAAAGAAAATCACCTCACAGGAAAGGAAAATGTACATTCAAAGATATCAACAAACTAAAAATACTCCAACAAAATAAACAAACAAACAAACAAGGATTTAAAAACCCATACAGAAACCAGAAAGTGGGAAAAAAATTAAACTTTGACCCCAGAAGTAAATAAATACTGCACAACATATCAATCTCGATAAGAAACATATCCAAGAAAGGAAAAACTGATATCAGCAAAGAACAAAATAAAATGACAATCAAAATATTTTATTGAGTTAGAGATATTTGTGGAAAATATAAACAAAAATGGATTCACTGAGTAGAACTGTTGTATTACAAGGCAAAATGGCAGAAGCACTAGGACAACAACAAACAATGGCAAAAAACAACATAACTGGTGTTTGAAAGCTCTGTCAAGCACAGATGATGGAAATAAAGGACAGAGCTCAGAGACAGAATCTGAGAAGTACCAGAATCCCCAAAAATGTTTAAGAGCACCTGATGCCCCCATTTTAGCAAACTGTGCAAGAAGGTCCCAGAACTGAGAGAGACTGCAGTACCACAAAACCTAAAGGGCACCAACAGGGATGAACCCTAAATTCAATTCATTCAGGTGTGATAGCATCAACCTCCAATTTATAAAACCAAAGAGCAGTAAGAAAAAAAAAGCACTAAGAAAAAAATCACATATTAACGGATGCCAAACTGATATGCAGAGGATTTTTCACCCAAGATGAAGGAAGGAAAAAAAGCAAAGGCACACAGACAGGAAAGGTGATGACCAGAACAAATGGGGATAGTTTGCTACAAAACAGAAGGTGTGAAGAAGAACAGTACAACTTAAAGCTAGAGATATTAATGAACAGAATCAAGGACACAGCTCTGCAGGCTGACACCTAAACTAGGGTTCTATGGGATATAATTAAGAATATTTTGGCAATGGAGGGGCATGGTCAGCATATCGTCTGAAAAATTTTACGAATGCAACATGAATAATAGACTGGAGAGGGAGGATAGACTGTAGGCAAGAAGATCAGTTTGGAAGTTATTATAATAGCTCAGTGAAGAAGAGATGAGGGCAGGAGCTAGAGTAAATGGTGTAAATGTAAAGGATGGAACAAATGTGAAAGCTGTTAGAGAAGTATAATCAGTTGAGGGGACTAGGAAATGTTCGTTCTGGAGTTGGGAAGATTCAAGATATAACTGCTGAATAAAGATCTAGGAACAACAATTAGAAGATGCAGAGAAGATTTTTGATTACATGTTGAAGTTAATAATTACACTTGTCCAAAAGTGAAATGGACTGCTTGATAAGGTAGTGAGTGGAGGTTGGGTGATTACTTAGAAAATACTTTACCATCTGCTTTGCTGCCACACTCTAAAGCCCACTGAGTTTTTTTCTGAGTTGTGGCTGAACTTCCTACACATGTTCTTCCTGTGAAAAGAGAGTTCCTTGGGAGAAGAGATTCTTACTTTTTTACTTATAACCCCAGCACTCAGCACAATGCTCTTGGCATTTACAAAGTGCCTACAATGTGTTTTTCATCCATTCATTTGCTGGGGAGGTCAGAGATTTCTATTCAGGTTAAAGGTTGGAATAAGTAATATTTGAGCTCCTTCCCAACTCTGAAATTCTGTGACAGTACTTAGCATCTGATTAGAAGTTGAGGGGGAAGATGAGGGGAGAGACAAGGCAGTGTCAATATCTCTGAGAATGGAAACATGGATGATGGTGGTAACACTGACAGAAAAAGGGAAATAAAGAAGAACAGGAGGATCTGGAGCCACAGAGATATACAGAGAAAAGCACGCCAGACATGGAGTCAGAGGGCTTGGATTTGAAGCCTAGCCCTGTCATTTTCCCTGCATAATTCTAGGCAAGTCACTATACTTTTGTAGGACCAGAGTATCCTCATTTGTAAAATGAGGGGGTTGGACTAGATGACATTTCAGATCCCTTTCAGTTCTACATCTATGATCTTATGCTCCCTTCTAGCCCTTAAGTTGGGACGTTTTCTGCCATCATCCAAGACATTAATGAACAGAATCAAGGACACAGCTCTGCAGGCTGACACCTAAACTAGGGTTCTATGGGATATAATTAACAAGACCAAAATCTGTGATATATGTAGACTGAGGAAGAAAAGATGAGGGTAACTCAGGTTGTAAAGCTGAATAACTGGAAGGATGGCGGTGTTCTCAACAGAAAGTGGGAAATCCTGGAAGAGTGAATTTGAGGAGGAAGACAAGTTCTGTTCTGGATATGCTGAGCTTGACATACAGATGGAGAAATCGAGGTAGCACATCCTGAACATCTCTCACACACATCCCCCTTTTCGTCACTCTCATGAAAATGAATGCTGTACAATTTCACTGATGAAGCTCATGCACAAAGAAGGTGCAGCACTTTGTTGCTGTTCAGTTGTTTCAGTTGTGTCCGACTCTTCATGACCCCATTTTGGGATTTTCTTAGCAAAGATACCGAGCGGTTTGCCATTTCCTTCTCCAGTTCGTTTTACTGATGAGGAAACTGAGGCAAACTGTGACTTGCCCAGGATCACACAGCTAGCAAGTATCTGGGGCCAAATTTGAATTCAGTTCTTCCTGACTCCAGGCTCAGTGCTCTCTCCACCATGCCCCAGGGGGAGCACAGTACAGTAGAAAAAGCAATAGCTCTGGCATCAGATGACTCCAGGTTCAATAGCCTCCTTTTGCCCTCAGTTTCCTCATTTGTAAAATGAAGGGTTTTGGATTTATTGGTGACTGAGGTCTCTTCCAGCTCTAGATGAATAACCCTATGACCACCCTAGATCAGGCCCTCCTCACTGTTTGCATGGACGACTGCAACAGCTTTTTGATTGGGCTCCCTACATCAAGTACCTCCCCCTCTGATCAATATATCCTCCAGCCATCAAAGTCATGAAGGAGCATTTATTAAGTATTTACTCTGGGCCAGGGATGCTGCTAAGGGCTGGGTATACAAATACAAGCAAGAAGAATGACAACCCCTGCCCATGAGGGGGCTTATGAGCAAAGTGTACACAGAGAAGGCAGCACCTAAAAGGAAGCTGAAAAGAATAGGTGAGGAGAGAAGGGGAGAGAGGAGAGTCAAGAGTGGAGCCTAGAGAGGAAGGAAAGAAGAAACATGGTTGGCCTCATTAAAATGGAGGTTCTGGGAGGAACTGACCAAAAAGAGGAAGGGCTGCAGGACCAAATGATCTTTCAGAGTGAGAAAGCGAATAGGTCATAGTGTCATGGGATTTATGATTTTCATATTAATTGACATGATATGGGCAATGATTATATTATCTAGATCTGCTGAAATTCCCTTATTTCCCAGGAGATCCTGGCCTGAGAGCTGGAACTACAGCCAACATACTGCAGCAGAAAGTGATCAATCACATCTCCTGACATTCTAACAATTCCTGTGCTTGTAACCACTAAGTGAACGGAACCAGGTGCTGCACTCCTGTTCCAGCCATGCTAACTGTGGTTCTGTACCCCACTGAAAATTACAAGGTTCAATGACTCCCAGAGGTAAGAGACCAGTCCAGTCTGGACAACATTTACAATTCTTTTGTCATAGTGTAAAAAGAAATCTAGAAACTCGGAAGTGGAACCCAGAGAGCAAAGGAGTATACAAGTGATATTTCTAAAGAACAGCTATGACAAAGCTGCAAAAGCTGCTCAAGCAGCTCCAGTGGCTCCCTATAACCTCCAGGATCAAATACAAACTTCCTGCTTGGCATTTAAAGCTGTTCACAACCTGGATCCAACCAACTTTTCCTGTCTTACTTTACATAACTCCCTTTCTGGTACACTGCTCTTGTCAAAGAGGTTTTCTTATTGTAGTCTTCACACATAATACTCCCCCTCCTGCTTCTGTGACTTTAAACTGGCTCTGCCCCATGCCTAGGATGAGCTCCCCCTTCTTCCCTCTGCCTATTAAAATCCCTACTTTCCTTTAAAGCTAAGCTCAAGCACCACCTTCTGCAGGAGGCTTTTGTTGACCCTTAGCATCTCCCAAATTACCCTGTATTTCTTTTATACATAGTATAGGGACATGTAGTGACAACCAAGCTCCTTGAAAGAATGGACTGTAGGGGGAAGAGGATAAGGGAGGGATCTTCAGAGGGGAAGGTGAGGGAATAGGTTAAGGGACAATATAGAAGGGTGTTTAGATTAATGCAAGTGCAGGATAAGGGAGGATCCTTGGACTGGGGGTAGGTTAAGTAATAGGAGGGCAAGGTAGCAGGTAGAAGTAAAGTAGAGGAGTCAGGAGGGGTAGGAAATAAAAGCTACACACAAACATAAAATAAAGATTAGGAGTAGAATTTGTTAGAGAAAAAGTAGCAGGGTTGGTAATCATGATCTCAGACAAAGTTAAAGGTAAAACATATTTAATCAAAAAAGAAAAGTAGGGAAACCACATCATGTGTCAGTCATATTCATAAATGTTGTTTTGGACTATTTAAAATAACTCGACAGTATAAGGTTGGAATATTGCTGTGGTGTAGGAAATGACAACTTGTTGGACTTGGAAAAATATGATTTGGACTTATGAAGGAAGAGGTTAACCACCCTCAGAAAAACAGAGGGCAAATAAGTATAGTACGTTCTTACACAGATGCATATGAATGTATATGTCTATATATGAGTAGAATTATAGATATTTAAGTATATGTATGCATAAGTGTATGTACAAAAGGGTATGTGATGTGTATATGTGTGTGTGTGTGTGTGTGTGTATCATGTCTATGTACACATATACACACACACACACATATATCCGAGTTTAATTGTAGCCTTCTGGGGAGGCGGGAGGGGGAAGAGAAAGAACAAAGCAAAAAGCGTAAAGCAGAGAACAAAAGAAAACTTACAAGGAAGCAAAGAAAAGATGGACTGCTCTCAACACAATGCACAGTATTTATTATACAGGCTTTATTTAAATGGAAATTTATTGCTGTATATTTTGGATCTTCTCTTACGTTCTGCTGTGCACATGGCAATGCTTTTTTCCCCCTTTTCTTACTGTACATTTAAGTTTTAGTATTTAAGTCTAAAATAAATTTTTAAAAGGCAAAAAGAGCAATAAAAATTAACTTTTTTTTAAAAGAAAGAATGGACTGTTAAATTTTTGTTTTTATATCCCTAGCTTCTAGCACAGTGCCTGGTATATAATAATTGCTTACTAAATGTTTAACTAAACTGAATAGAATTAACACTCTTTGGGTATGATTAACCATCCACACCATATTTCTCTAGCTGATGTCATGACAGACTTTAGTCAAATATCTTGCTCAATCATTTGGTCTCTCTACCCTCAGTTCTCTTCCCATGTCAATTCATTCTCCATTCAACTGGCAAAGTGATTTTCCTAAAGCATAGGAATGAACATATCATCTGCCTATCAATAAATGCTGGTGGCTACCCAATTAAATCTAGGACCAAGTATCAAGTCCATTGATTGACATTTAAAACTCTTCACAACATGGCCCCGAATTACTTTTTCCATCTTCTTACATTTTATTCCCTTCCATGCATGCTATGATCCAGCCATAGTGCTTGCATCTCTGGACCCATACCTTTACACAGTTGGGGGTGGTGGTGGTGGTACTGGCAGCCTGGAATACTCTCCCTCCTTACTTCAACCTCTTAGAATTGACATCTTCCTTCATGACTCAACTCAAGTACCACCTTTTGCCAGAGGCCTTTCCTGTTCCTTTCTGCTGCTAGTGTTTTCCTCACCATAGTTACCTTCCATCTGCCTTCTACATATCTTGCATGTATGTGGCTCTAGCAGGTTTGGAACTGCTAGTGAGGAAGGAGTCAGGGAATCTCAGGATCTGGGTTGGAAGACATCCCTCTTAGCTTTAGCTTACTTGCAAATTTTGAGAGGCATGTCCTCTCTCTTTATCCACATTAGCATTAAAGATGTTTAATAGCAAAAAGCCAAGCATAAATCCCAGGGAGCAGGCACTCCACTGGAGACATGTTTCAAGGATGATGTTGAATTCTTCTGGCCTGGCCATTCAACCATTTCCAAATCCATCTGTCATCTAGCCTACATCTCTCTATCTTGTCCACAAGAATCGGATGAGAGAATCCACATGTACAAAAATATTTATAGTAGCTCTTTTTGTGGTGGTAAAGAATTGGAAATTGAGGGAATGCCCATCAATTGGGGAATGGCTGAACAAGTTGCAGTATATGTTGGCCTTATTTCTCTTGTCCTTTCGTACTGGGAGGAATGAATATACTGATAGAAACCGACCTGGATTTCTCCGTCTGAACTCAGATCACGTAGGACTTTAGTCGTTGAACAAATGAACCATTAATAGCGGCTGCTATTGGAATACTATTGTGCTATAAGAAATGACAAGCAGGATGGGTTCAGAAAAACCTGGAAAGGCTGAATGAAATGAGCAGAACCATGAGAACATTGTATACAGTAACAGCCAGGTTGTGTGATGACTAACATTGATAGACTGAACCCTTCTCAGCAATAAAAGGATCTAAAGACATCTCCCAAAGGTCTCATGATAGAAAATGCTATCCACATCCAAAGAAAGAACTACGGAGTTCGAATGCAGATCGAAACATACTATTTGCAATTTTTTTCTTCTGTTTTGCTGTTTCCTCCTGGTGGTTCCTCCTATTGGTTCTAATTCTTCTTTGCAACATCACTAATGTGAAAATATGTTCAATAGGAATGTGTATGGGCAGTAAGGGAGCTTTGAGGGTGGGCTCCCCCAATCTGGGGAAACTAGGAAAGTGTAGGAAAACACTACCCCCTCTACTGGAACTATCAGTTGCTAAGGGTAACCGACCCTAACAAGTCAGATTGTGCCCTGTGCTGGGAAGGAAGGTGGGGAGGAAGGGGGAGAAAAATTTAAAACTCAAAAGCTTATGGAAATGATTGTTGATAAATCAAAATAAATTAATGAAAAAAAATTGGATGAGAGACTCTGTAAAGTGCTTTGATGAAAACTAGGTAAATTTTATCTAGGACCCTGCCCTCTCCTACCAGTTCAAAAGTAAGTGACTTGCCCAGGGTCACACAGGTAAGTGTCTGGGACAGGATTTGAATTTGGGTCTTCCTGACTGAGCCACCTAGTGACCATTAAATGTGGCCTAACTCTTCCTCTAGCACAACATTCCCTCTCTGACCTTAACAAAGGTTGTTTCCTAAGCCTGGAACATTTGCCCTCCTCATCTCTATTTCTTGGAATCCCTGGTTCCCTTCAAGGCTTAGTTCAACTGCTACCTCCTACTTAAGACTCTCCTGACCTCCCACCTCCAGTTGTAAGTACTCTTTCATACTCACAAAAGTATTTTTATATATACTGGTATACATATTTTCCTCCCAAAAGGCCATAAAATCTTTCTCTTTTTTCCCCCTTTGTCTCCTTAGAACCTGGCCCAGGCCACAGTAAGTACAAAAGTCTGAACAGAACTGTATCTTCAACAAAGCAGGAGTTTTGTGTGTGAAAGTTGGATAATCAGACTTATGTACCATTTCAGTGTGGAAACTCTCTCCTATAATGCAGATTTGCAACTCATTTGTAGGGAGTTTCCTAGCATACTGAAACTCTCACCCACATTCACAATGCTGCTATGTGTCACGATGTAGGACTCGAACCAGGCTCCAAGGCTAGACTTCTCTAATTCTTTTTTTTTAATATATCTCTATAGATCTCTATGGAGACAGAATTTAATCTCTCTATATAAATCCAGATCTATGCATAGATATATCTGTACGTATGTATGTCTATATTTTGGCTGGCACTTGTTATTTTATTGTAGGGAAGTGGAGCAAGTCCAGGACTCCCCTAAGTCCAACTGTTCTGCAACTTAATAGTTTAAGAGAAGTGACTTGCACAAGGTCACATGGCTGGTATGTGTCAGAGGCTACACTTGAACTTAGGACTTGCTGATTCTGGGGCTGGGTCTCCAACCTTTTACTGGAGAGAAAAAACAAACAAACAAACCCGGCAACAACAGAACAGGTGAAGCCTATTTCTGCGTAGGCCAGTCTTTCTTGCAGCGGGTACCTGAACAGATGCGCTCCACCTTGAGCCTCCCATTGTAGATCCTGGTGACCTGCAGGGTGAGCTCCTCTATCGGGGTGCTTCCGGACGCCTGCAGCAGAAACTGGCTCTCGTCGCCCCGCTTCACGTGGAGACAAACCATCACTGCCCGAGGGAGCTCCGAGTACGGCCGGAAGGACAGGGCGCACGCGCAGCTCGGCGCTTTCGGAAACAACAACGCCCGAAGAGTTAATAACGCAAGGCCTGGCCTCCTGACTCGGGTCTAAGTGTGTCAAAGTCTCGGCAGCGGAGTGGGCGGTAAGGGAGCTTTGAGGGTGGGCTCCCCCAATCTGGGGAAACTAGAAAAGTGTAGGAAAACACCACCCCCTCTACCGGAACTATCGGTTGCTAAGGGTAACCAGCCCTAACAAGCGTCCCGGGACAGCGGGGGTGGGACGAAGGGAGGAGAGGCGGAGCCTCGCTGGGCCCACGGAGGGCCGCGTCCGCGGCAAGGAAGGGCTCCCCTCCACCCCCAGCCCTCGTCTTCCCAAGTGGAGCTGAGCCGCGGAAGCCCAGAACCGTTACCGCCGCTTCAACGTCTCCGAGACCAGCTGTCCAGATTCCTCCGCACCGCCACCCGGGAGACGCGACGTGCCTGCCCGTCACCTTCCAGCTCGCGGAAGTGACGTCACGCGACGGGCTGCCTCGCGCCTCGTCCCCGCCCTCACCCTCCTCGTCCCGCTGTGGCTCTCTGGCGCCGCCTTTTCGGCCTCGTTGGAGGCGAGCACGGGCAGTGATCGGCTGCTCCAAGGACCCGAGAAGGCTTAAGTTCGATATCTGCTGCAGAAAGACATCCAGATAGCCCCACACCCCGAAACTCGCTGCACAAACTGACTCTGCCCCCACCACGTCCCCACCATCTCTCAAAGGGAGATGAAAATGACACCCCACCTCACGGGGCTGAGGAGGACCAAAGAAAGTAACATATGCAATCTGCTCTATAAATGCTATTGTTACTAATTAAAAGGCACAGTCAGGTTTCCTGTTCTCTGGTTAAAAAAAAATATCCTACTCATAGCCTAAAATCCGTTTCCCATTTTATGTTTTAGTTGGATCAGTTGGAGGGGGGAATACCTAAATTTAACCACCAGGTAGTGGATAGCTGTGGATGGAAAAATCCTTCTCATAGAATCTGGTGGAATCCTGTTGTGGATTTTTGGATCTATCTCCATCAACACTGTGAGGCTATGAGAGAATGGATGTAGAGCACTTTGCAAACCTTAAAGCTCTCTATAAATGCCAGTTATTATTTTTAGCCTCCAGTCTATCCCAGTTAGAGAACCTGGATTCAAATACTAGCTCTGCTACTTGATATGTGACCCAGGACCTCTGTTTCATCATTTGTCAAAAGAGAGGGTTGGACTAGGTAGATGGCAGTGAAGACCCTTGCGATCTATGATCTATGATCCTAAGTTCTAGAACATTTAGTTGCCTCACCTTTTTGGCCAAAGAAGCAGAAAGTCTGGAAAGCCTCTAACTTTGGAAATCGAAATCCATGGAATGGACTTGAGATTTCAACTTCTGATTGTGAAATTTATGATCCAGTGTGAACCAAAACTCAGGATGGTCAATGCTGTCTTGGTCTGGTTGTTGGTGGCCAGCTCTGACTCCTTCCAGCCTCAGCCCACTGAAGTTGCAAGGTGGGTATGGGAAAAACAAGGTAGTCTTTGTCTTGCATCTATCTCTACTTGACTTTGAACTGGGCACCTCCCTGCCTAAGTTTGTATCTCTCTTCCTACAAAAGGAAGGTGCAGACAGTAAGAATAGAGCCTCATAAAAATATGCGAAAGCCAATGTCAAGGGGATCAAATGAGAGGAGCTAAAATAATATTTTGGAGGGTTTGACTCTTAAGAATACAATAGGTGGGACTAAGATACTAAATTTCTCTGTAGACAGATACTGAACAGGAAAGCTTCAGCTAAATTGTAGCCAATATGGCCCAGGGATATGAAAACTACCCCAGTTCAGTTCATTTTGTTGTGATAAAGAGAATTTCTGGCTTGTTTCTTTTCTAGAGTACTGTCCTGATTTACCAATCTAATGACTTTTTTTTCCCCTAATGACTTTCAATAAAGGATATGAGATTAGTGTCCATCACACATTATTTTTGATGAAGCCATGCCAGTTCTTTATGGTCACATTTTTATCATTATCCATCTTTTATTTTTTTTTAGGATTTGCCAGTAATTCAATCAATATATTGCCTATAGTTTAAAAATTCCACTATCTTTTGAAAATGGGGATAACATTTGATCTTCTCCACAAACTTTCGAAAATCAAAGGCCAAATAGTTATTTTAGTACCTTGGAATGTAATTATTGTCTCCTCTGTCAAAGTGAGGTGCCATTTCACATTGCAATGTGTTCTTTTCCACCCTTCAAAACTACTTCAGTTTATCTAAATAATCAAGCTTATGCCTAAAAAAAAAAGAACCAACAAGGGTCTAAGTGTGAAACTTAAGGTCTTTCTTACTGAATAAAGGGTATGGGGCTCTTTTGGTTATCCCAAAGTAATTTTCTCTTTATTTCTAAAGTCAGGGTGGAAGTTGATGAAGATTTTACTGCTCAATATGTGGGTTAGAACTGCTCACATCTGTCAAATCAGCTTAGCTGATCTCCACTATTTATCAAAGAAATTGTTTTGAAAACTCCAGGGAAGTATTTGAGAGCCTGAACTGTTGTCCTAAAATACCTCTGTTTAAAGCAAAGTGATCAACATGGTAAAGACAGGTATTTTTAATGAAGATGCCACATTTCACAGGATATGTACAGAATGTCACATACCACTGCATTTTAATACGAGTTTTGTAAAGTGTATAGTTATAAATAGTGTGCCACATTAGCAATAACATTGTTACATATAAATAGCAACTTACCACAAAGGACAAAGAATTAGTGAAAAGTTTAGTGTTTCAATTTAGTACTTACTTGTTTTTTTTCTTTAAAGAAATGCTAGTTATTTTACTAATACACATTACACTATTTTAGCTACTTGCAGTATACCTTTTAAATCCAATAAACTCTGAATTTTGGGTAATCTTCAAACTTGGTTATCCTGTTAAATGCTGAACTGTTGCATGTTATATACACTTTAGATTGTAGTTTATCATTAGATATCTAACAGGAAGCACAGCTTACAGAATTTCAATTGGCACTAGCAAAGTTCAAAGAATTGTTTTGCTAATATAGAGCATATATCCGAACACCGGTCATTATTACACAGATGTTAGCAGCCACAATTTTAACAAGTTAATTCACATATTGAAGCACACTGCTTATAGTAATACTGCTGTTTAAAATGTACAAATACTATTGTTCAGATAAGAACAAAAAAAAAGCACAATATAAAATCCACTGGGGTTTCTTTTCTGTTTAACAGCAGATCCTGGCTGTTAAGAGAAGTGTGAATGACTTTTACAAATATAGTATTTTGATAGCATTTAAGAATTTAGATGAGTCTTTTACATAATATTTGCCTTGTGTTTTAAGTAATGCAGTCTTCTGTGCTTTTCACCTCATTCCTCCCTATGATAAAAACTCAGACTATACCAATAAAAGTGAAGGTCTTACTTTTGTCCCCCTGGCTAATGCACACACTTAAATGGATAAACTGTGACATGACAATAAACTATACTTTTTTTAAAAAAAGCATATTGGTAACATTTTTATAAGGTAAAGGGCATTTTAGTTTATATTTGCAACAGAAGTGTTATGAAAGTAATTTTCCGCTTGATTTTACTTAATGTTATCAAAATACCAAATTTTGTATAAATTTTGCACACTTCTTGATAAAAGAATGGAAGCAAGATCAGTTGCATAATGGCAGTGCATTTCAGGAGATAAAATCCACAGCTGACTTGGGGCTTGGCATTAGTAATGTGGAACAGAGCCTCTTAATGGGATAAAGAAGTCCTGGATTACATCCTCCATTCAAAAGAGCTTCATTAGTGTAGAGCTTCATTAGTGTTGAGGTCTGCTGCTTTGTCTGCTAGAGGAAATGTTTTAGAACTAAAGCAGCATATACAACAGCGGGGATGGGTCTGGGTAAAATGTGCCTTAACCAAAAGCAAAGAGAGAGTCGTGTTAAAGACCAGGAGTTAAAATGCTATTAAATACGCTATGCAATAGTTGCCTCCCCAGATGTTTTCACAGAACCACAAGATTTTCAAGGTAGCCTGGGTAACTACACATGACAGTGAACTTCTTGCTCCACTGAGGTACCGGAGTAGAAACCATTAAGTTGGGGGCAGAAAAAAATGAGTTCATTGATGTGGTTTTTTTTTCCCAATTTGGGGAAGAAAACCTTAAGAAACAGGAAATGAAAATATTCCACATAACTGAAATGAAATAAAAAGTGTCTCAGTTATAGTTGCAATTTTCTTCATTGGTAACAAAAGACACTTACAAGAGGGCACGGAAGGTAATTAAAATCTGACTTGAATCTACACTATATAAATAAAACAAGTTTAACAAATAATGAAAATAATTTGTCATATGATTAAAAAAAGTAATACCTGTCAAATGTTTTTTAGTATAATTTTGGCAGTTCTTTGGTAAATATTCATAAATACCAGATGCTAATCTGTATGAAGGGGCTGATGATTATATCAGGTAAAAATTATCACTTTTTTTCATATTCTTTAGTGGGGAAGAATAAGAGATAATTTCAAGAATAAGTAGTATTCCTAAAATTAGCTTTAAGCATTTTAAAATGAGGATTAATAACTAATTATTTTGGCTACTTATCACAATAAACACATTCAGACTCAACTTTATGATGAGAATTATCTTTGTGTATTCCCAAAATATATATATTCAAACTTGTATACATTAAATAGTGGTATTTCACGAAGATATCAGTGCACTTAATTATTGCACATAGTATAACTTTAATGCCCATTTTTTGGGATGTATCTTGCCAAAAAGACCTTTCGCCTCATAACATTATCTTTCTGTAAAATCTACTGCTGATGAAGTCTTAGATGCCAAAGGGGTGAAAGGATCTACAGGAGTTGCAGGGCTAGGTGTTACTACTGGGGCAGGAGGCGCAGGTGGTCTTCTTGATGGCAACATACAGAAAGAAACAGTTGAATTTTTATTCCAGTCCAAGGAAAAGTCTGAGTCAGAAAATGGAGTTGACTGGGTGTCTAGTAAGTCTGGACAACCAGCTGATTTCTCAGAACTGACTCTATTCAACTCTGTTGCACTGTCTGGTGCTTTCTGTTTTACACTGAAATCATCTTCCTCAAAAGTTACCCAGCCTTTTGGTTTGATGCTTTTCACTGCTGAAGATGTGCTCTGCAAAGCAAAACTGTCCTCAAATCCATCCTTGGGAAATGAAGGCTTCCTTACATTACGACCGAGAAGATGTGAAGAGGGGGAAGGACTGCTAACAGGTTCCTCTTCTGGAAGCCATGAAATTACTTCAGATTCTTGAGGGTCAGTTCTGAATGGATTTCCAAGAGGACGAGTTCTATCAGTAAAAGGATTGGTCATATTTAAGCTAGCAACAAACGGGTTTGAGGAACTTTTTATATTTTCCTGGGATTTGCTCCGAGTTGGGATAGGTGGCATTCCTGGGAAGAAACTTTCATTATTCAAGATATAAGTGAAGCTTTGTGATGTGGAAGGCAACTT